GGGTTTCCCAGATACGTGGGGTATGACAAACTACAACTGGACTGGTTGGAATTACGAGCGCGGTATTGAGGATTTCTGGAAACCATGGGTTCAAGCAATGAACACAACCAAGATTCGTTAGTTATCCGTATCTACTGACAGCAAGTGCATAGACAATATTACTATCGAAAGACGCATTGAAAACAACCAGTATCTGACATGAACTACCGTCCTTCCCGCCTCCACACACAATTGAATTTATCACCTTTTCTCCAGCCTCGATTCTTGGTTCTCACATGCTGGATTCAGCCAGGAGCGCGAGCAAGAGACAACAGAGAGCGGAGCCGGCTTCGGTGGACCAAGTAGTAGGGCACGGCAGAGGCACCTTATCTAAGGAAAAAACTAAACACCTTAGAGCCTACGTTAACGTAAGGTTACCTACTTTATACATCATGATCTTCATGTAGGCTGCAGGCCTGTTTAGCTTCTTGCTTGTCTAAGGTGGAGGCTCGGGAATCTATGAGTGTGCAGTTTGACAGGTGATTGCGCGCATGATCGCGACTTATTGTTCATTAGAACATCGTTATGTTAGGGCGGCATGAATCGAATGCTCATGTCACCTGTTACTAGAACATCGCTCCGAAGCTAAGTGCGCCCAAAACGGCACCCATCCACCACTCCAGTTTACGCCTCCTCCCTGCTCCAGCCTCCTTGCTGGAGGTAGTAGCCAAACCGCCAGTTTGCTCACCAGGATTTGCAGCATCAGTGGTACTTGCTTCGAAGCCAGATCTTGGTACAACCATTGTAGTAGGCGCAACACGCACAGTGGCAATGACAGCAGTTCCGTCCGAAAAGACCGAGACCAAAGTGTTACCTTCGGCGTCAGTCGTTAATCCTACAAAGGTAGGGAAGAAGTTGCTCCCGATGTTGGTGCTAAGACCAGCCGTAAGCGTTAACGTCTGTGTTCCATATACAAATTCGCCAATGGCTACTGCTGGCGCTGTTTGTGGTGGAGATATCATGTCCGTATTGCTCGCCATGCCAGAGTCGGGAGTGGTTGCTGGCTGGGCAAGCGCACTATCACCTCCATTATGGTTATCGATGGGCGCTACAGTTTGACCAGGGTTTTCTGTCGCAGGAGATGCGGGTTGAGCTGGCTGCACATTCGATGGTGCGCGCCCAATCTGAGAGACTATCTGCAGTAGGAGACTGTGCTGCTCTATCTGCTGTTGCGCCGATCCTGTAGCACCGGGTCCTTCTCTTATCGTGTTCGAAGCCCTAACTGTGCTCGGTCCTATGATGAGGCCCGGCTGTCCAGCACTGCCCTCGCTTTCTTGTTCGGTCCCCCATACGAGGACGCTGGTGTCGAGGTTGAGGATGGTCGGCCGAGTCGTCGTGACAGTCGTGGCGGTCGGAGTAAGTGTCACGAGGCGATCGGTAGCTGGACCCGTCAGTCCCCAACCTGTGGCAGACGGAAGAACAATCCATTGCAAGCCACCACAACTACCCGGATCGATAGAACAACAGCTGCTGGCGTCGAGAGTACACACTTCGACCTTCACGTCGACCCGATCTACAGAACTCTCGGTAGCAGTGGCATCGGACGGTTCTGTTATCTGCGCCGCGATCGATACGGTCGACTGTTGGGTGGGAGCAATCTCGGTGACGTTGGGTAAGAAAGAGGTCTCTGTTTGCAATCAGCGTGTATGCCCTCAAGTTGGTACGATGTTGGTTGCGCACGAGGGACAGCTGCTGCGGCGTTCGCTAGAAATAATAGCGTCAAGAGCTCTGGCGGAAGGTACATGTCGGTGCGGCGCTCCCTCATGCCGTCAATCTGGCATTGGTAAGGAGACAGCGAGAGCCTCCAGCGCCCTCAGACACTCAGGCCCCTTGCGTCCCGCCATGTTCTCGAAGTGAGTAAGTTCGCGCGCTGTGCCGCAGGGCAAGCCTCATCGTGGCTAGCCGAACGTCGACGAGCACGCCAAGCGCTGCCGGGCGTTGTCACAATCTCCGAAGTCTCATGCACCACGCTGCAACTTTACGACCAACGACAGCGACGGTTCAGCGATCCTCCAAGATTCACATCAGCACTAGGACCCATACCTGCCTTATATGGCGACGCTTCCAGGTGTTTTGCATGCACTATCGCGGCAGTGGCGGTACAAAGAACGCGTTGCAGCTGACCGGCATCGAATCCCTCCGCCTCTCCAATGCACAAGCGTCTAGATGCAATTATACCACCAACGAGAAGGATCGAATTCAAGGGAACGCGAAGACGTCCATTCTTTTTTCAGCACGCTCGGATACACTACGCTCTAGAAGCATACGCAATGGCTCACACCCACACATATCCTCGAACATACCTAGGTACCGTATTGTATACCTCCACGACAGACCTCTAATTGTTGATTGCGACCCATGAATCACGATTGATTTCGTATCTCGTGCCCTGTGTGATCCTGTAACCAGGCTGGTATAGCGCATGCATACTCAAGCGCTGCCTCCGTCTCTTCACACACGCAGACGTAGCGACTAACAGCCCAGTCCCGAACGTGCTGTCAGTACGTTTACGCCTTCACTAACCTAATGAAAGTCTAACACCCTAGAGCCTACATTAACGCTAAGTAACCTGCTTTGCAAGTTTCTATCTTTATGTAGTCTGTAGACCTGTTCGGCTTTTATCTTGTATACCGATGTAAGGCCAACCGTCTGGCTTCTAATCTGACGTTTATAAGCCACAATACTGTCTACGTTTAATCAGTCTAATTAATTTGACTACTGCGCTGAAATCCGAACCTGCAGATAAGGCTGTTTCGTGAGAAGCGCTAAGAGAAGCAACAGGAATAGCTGGAGAGAGAAAGGTACAAGAGCTGCGTAGGCAGTCGACGAGGCGATGAGCCGAACGAGAAGGCAGCGAAGATCCGTGAGAAACAGGACGAAGGTTTTGGGTGACGTTATCTGTGTGGCTGGCCAACAATGGCACCTCCCAGGCAGCACACTTGTTCGTAAGGGTCACATGGGGAAGATTCCCAATGCTCTTCAATCAGTGTGCGTCAACCGCCTGGTCAGTCTTTATTGCAGGCCTCCTGGATTAGGAGACATCAATATCCGAATGACTACGACGTGCAAGTGCGCAACCGATGAGTCACTGCCACTGCGACGAAGGACATCGCCTACATGGATCATAATTTTGGTCATGCTCTTCACTGCCCATCTCTCAATTGCGACATCGTCATACCAATACTCGCTGTTCTTGACCAAACCTTACTAACGAGAAGGCTGAAAAAGGAGCCCCTGACCCAAACAATGATTCATCCAAAGCGCATGACCCTTTGAGCGTCGTAAGCTCCAACCGGCGAGGTACCCACGAGAGCGAATAACCAGAGACATCAGCATAGACATCGGGACAACATGGAGTTATGCTGTAGGCATCCAGCTCAACATCGGAGATTACCCGCTACGTTTTCGCACCTTGATTACACAAACCCAACGTTCACCGTCGTGTTTTCGGCCCCCACACCTCCACATTGTCATAGCCTCGTAGTGGCGACCGCACATTCAGCTGCCATGACCCTTCCACGATACACACTGCAGGGGCCCTTAGGATCATATACTTAGGCAACTCTGAAGACTCCATTCAAGCCTCAATGTTCTGGCGGTCAGGAACTCATCGGTAAATAATCGTTCACGCGGAGCACGCCGACAGTGGGCGCAGCCAATCAAATCCTGGAGCGGTTTGCACAAGCCACAATCGAGCCGCAGAAAAAGAGGCGGTGCACGTTGAAATTCATGGAGCCCATGCTAGCCAAACAAGGTGATTTCTAAGTCGTCTAGGCAGTTGAAACATTTCGTCAGATAATATAAGAGGGTTCTGGAGGACAGTGGGCTTACTTCTCCAGTCCTCACCTGTACGAATATAAGTGCCTGCAATCCATTGACATTGCAAAACGCATAACTTTCTCCTGAGCATTGTCATTACAATCATTCCATACCTACCAAATCACAGTCATCATCTCAAGGCCTGACTAATCAGCCGCACCAGGCAGCCGACTATGTCATACCTGCACCTAACGCGTACTCGCACCCGCGAGCGCACTCCAGAGTATGAATCTTACTACTCACGTCCTCTCGTTCATCACGACTCCAGCAAACACCGGCGGAGCATCACACTCTCAGATCTCGATGACGAAGATGGCCATGATGACTACCCCTACTCGTCCAACCATAAGCCAGTCAGGTCATCCCGCTCCCTAACAGTACGGGATCAGCCCTCTCAACTCGAGCGCTTCAACGTCTGGACTGACACTCGGCGCCCCCAAAACGATGCGGAAGACGAGAACAGACGCCGTAGCTACGACACACGACGTACGTACGAATACTCCTCAGACCGCGCCGCTTCTTCCGAGCCAGACGACCAAGCTTTCCGCCTCGGCATCAACGCTAAGTTCAGCCGTCCACACTCGTCGCACCATCACCATACTTTCTCGCTTCTCTCACCCTCATGCGATCCTTTCCATCGTAGTGAGAAGTGGTGGGTGGATGAGCGTTGGGAGTCTCGTGAGCGGTCTACCTCACGGGAAAGGACCCGTACACGACGAGATAGCTTCTGGGGCGACTCTCCTTTCGAGGAGAAAGAGAAGGAGACCGAGCAGAAGAAGTGGAGAAGCTATCATAGGGTTGGCGGGAGAGAGGTGGAGAGGGAGAGCGTCAGGCCGTTGAGTGGCTGGAGGAGAAGAAGGATTGTCTTGGGTGACGACTAGGGAGAGCAATTGGGGACACAAGGAGGCGATCGAACCAAAATGTATTTCTGAGTGTTACATCCTTTTCATTATTGTCAGTCTTAGATGGTTTGGGTATACTTTAGGCTTCGCGATACACTGTCTTCGGGGTTTTCTTTTCTGAGTAGCACATGTGACTAGGAGTGCTAACTTATATTCAATTATCAGCTCAATGAGTAATGCGTTGAACTATACATTAGAATGAGAACGTGAGCAAGTGCTGAGTATCATCAAGCAGTTCAACTATCGATTCCTCAAAAGCCGAAACCGAGGTCTCATTTCCCTCCCAATCGCCATGTCTGTGATCCATTGCTCGTATTCCAAACCCCTCGTATCCGTGAAATCCACGTCTTCGTAGTGCCATCTGCGGCCCAACCAACTCTCCTTGTCCTGCTCATATACACTGGACTCGAGTGCGCCCAGCACTTCATCCTCAATTTGCCACTCCGTGCTATGTCCTATGTTTAGATAGCGCAAACGGCCTAGATACCGTTCGTCTATTAAGGTGAAGAGATCAGTCATCGTGAAACTACGTGAGGGATCACCCGTCCGTCCACAAGCGAGGAGAGTCAGTTTGTATAGTGGCTTGGCTTCTTGCCATCGGGCTGGTGAGAAATCTGGTGGCATGTTTCCGAATCGACTGTCGATGTAGTCTAGTGCTATGGTTAGAGAGACGAGGTTTGGTAGCCAGTCTAGTACACTGTTCAATCGGCCTTGTTTGACGGCTGGTAGATCGCGGAGTTCGACGACCGTAAGCGATGCAGATAGGCTGTCAAGTAGGGGTCTGATACCTTGCCTGCGGTCTTTATGTTAGCATCCAATCCTCCAGTGGCAGTCGTACGGTGAACTCGTTGCAATAGAGTCTTGACGTACTGATCTAGACCTGGACTATGGTGAATACTCAGCGAAGAGAAAGTCGGAGGGAAGTTGGCCGGTTGTCGTAGCATATCCCATAGGAATTGACCAGAGACCGATCCAGATAGAGCGAGGTGTTCCAGGTTAGGTGGCCAGCGAATACTGGGACCACCGGGTGTGGCGGAGGGTTCATATCTAGATGAACAGCGAGGCAAGTAAAGCTCGCGTAGATCCCCAAGTTGCCGTATCGTTTGGTTTAAGCTTTGGAAACTGATGCATTCGGATACCCTGGTTTTAGAAGAGCATGTCAGTTTACGATTCGAACAAAGATCGTGTGTCTGGGGTTTACCAACAGGCTCAGGTCGAGAACGCGTAGCCGGGTGCATTTGCTCAGGCTAGCCCAGCAGTTGATTGCAAAGCTAGCTTGAGGTGCTACGAAGACTTCAAGAGATAATCTCGTTCGGCCTAGCAATCTAGCTGTTGTCGATTTGGCGCCTTGATGTACGATGTGGGATAAGTCCAGCGACTTTACTAGACTTGACAATGCTGTGGGCTTGTGATAGGTTAGCATGTATCACCAACTACTCGGAATATCCTTACCTTGATGCGGGCTAGCACAGAAGGACATATCGTTCGTACAAAGAGATCGTACGCACTTCCTGATAGATATGGTGATTCGTATAGTGGTTGAACTGCTATCTATGCATCGAACAGCCAAATTAGTCACAACACGTTTGATGGCCCGTAGCATGGCATTCACATACATCATACCACTGTCTACTGATGTAAGCTCATGTGACCAGGATCCTCAATGCGACACATTACCTATTGACAGCGGAAAAGCGTGCAAGCGCGGTTTGCCTCTCGATCTCGCCCCACGATGCAAAGTACGCCAAGATCTCAAGCAACAGTTCGTTCGGGAGATAGTTGGCATAACTGGAAGAGGAAGTAGACATGATTAGTGTGGCTGCATGTGAGCATGCGTACATGCATTTGGACTCGTGAAGAGGTCATCGCACAAGCGCGTGCGCGCAGAGATGGCGACATGACGCACTAGCGCGACTGGTGTTTTGGGCTATCACCGAGTAACACCGAGACACAGCTCACGCTCAACCCCGCACTCACCAATCAAGACCCTCACACACGCGTTTACGGAAACACCCGCCCCTTAGAGCTGAACTCGGTGCCTAGGATCTGTCGGTCCTACTAAAACCTAAATCCCTATTGACAGGACCCATGGCGGTTAATGTGAAACATGCGACACGCATCACTATATACACACGCGATGAGAACAAAGGTTGTGATTCCCCGCATCTATTCACAAGGACCCATTTCACATTCCTTACTCTGTCTCTCTTTGCATTTCACAGTTTCATAGATCTTTGATACAAAATATAATCCCTACGATACAACGCCCTCCCTTCTTCTTACAACCACACAAGTCTTGGTCCCTCTGTATTACTACACAACTCCATACCTTCATTATCAGCAGCAATGAACACTTTACTCATCGCGTTAGCGACTATAGGACAAGTAGCCGCGGGTCGGCTCCTCGTCGCATCATATGGAAATGACACTACTCCTGGCGCTATCCAGACTCTCGAACTACCACCTAGCACAAACGAAAACACTAGCCAAACGATGAAGGTTACTCATGAGAGCTATGAGTGTGGGAAGTTACCCACATGGCTCGATGCTTCCCTTGGTCGTGAAAGGATAGTGTGTCTAGACGAAGTAGAAATTGGTGCCAACCTTACAATGTTGAGCGTTGGTGCTGATGGCAGCCTCAGCAAGATTTCGAGCAGCCCGGTTTTGGGAGGAGCGGTGTCTTCGATATCCTACAACAACGGAACGGCGCTTGCCCTTGCCCATGTACGTACAACCCTCTCTTTCTAATCCTTGATGAACATGTACTAACAATCCAAATAGTATGGCCCCCAGGCAGCAATCTCACTCTTCACCATCGACGGAAGCAACAAGTTCTCATCCCTACAGAACTTCACCTTCGAGAAGCCTGAACAGATCCACCAGGCTGTCCTCGACCCCACAGGCCAATTCATGATCTTCCCTAGTCTCGGTGCCAATCTAGTCCACGTATATTGTATCGATCCCGCAAGCCACCAGCTCACCGAACACGAGCCACTCAAATCAAAGCCGGAATACGGTCCTCGGCATGCAGTTTTCTGGACAAGCCCCGATTCTAAGACCACATACCTCTTTGTCGTCCACGAGAAAAGCAACAAGATCATCAGCTACAAAGTAGACTACCCTGAGTGCGGCGGCCTGGAATTCACCGAGGTCGACGAGGTCAGCACATATGGCAACACTACGCTCCCGCCAGTGTCATATGCCTCGGAGATGATATTGTCACCCGACAACAAGTTCCTCGTTGCGGCGAATCGTAACGGCACGGTGTTCAAAGTAGACAATCCCGACCCAAAGAACAGCACCCAGGTTCCAAGTGACTCACTTGCAACATTCAAGCCGACAGCGGACGGAAGGTTGTCGTTTGTCCAACTCGCCAAATCAGGCGGATACTACCCTCGCCACTTCAACATGAATAAGGACGGATCCATGATTGCGATTGCGAACCAATTTAGCAAGAACGTTGCTGTCTATAGCCGAAATCTAGAAACGGGAAGGATCGAAGACAGCAAACCGGTGGCTACGGCTGAGGTCCTTGGGTCCGGCGGTTTGATGTTTGTGCAGTGGTTGGAGCAGCAGTAGGTTGGGTGTGAAAGTCTATTAACAGACGACTCATGCGCACGGTTCTGATGATGTATCCCAGAAGGTTGGAATGAAGTCTTGTTATGAGACACTCCAAGAGCATCATCATATCTGCAATGACAATACATGTACATAATTCAATATCACGGAGCATCTGCTGAAGATGCCCACTTTTCCTGCGCGACAGCCCACGCTACAGCGTCCCAAACATCGCTCACGATCTTGCGCGGCTCAGGCGACGGTGTTGTACCCTTCTTGTAGACACCTGTTTCCACTAACACACTAGCCCAATCTGTACCATGCGGACTCTGGTAGTTGTTACCGCCAGCAATGTCACTGGCGGGATTGTCACCGACCATGTACACGCGCTTCAGATGGCCCAGCGGACTACCATAGTTTTGCATCAAATGATGCCGATGCGCTATCAGACGCTTCTCAGCGAACTCGTACGTAGGTCGGTGTGGTTTGCCCATTACGACTTTCTGCAGCTTAACACCTTGTGTCTGTCCGCCAGTTATCGCAGCCCAGATACCCTCGAAAGCTTCGCGAAAGCCGCCCTGACCGAGACGTGGCAGGTGATATTTTGCCGCCCATAGCAGGTCTGGGTTTGAGAAGTATAGTGGGGGCTGTCCATCTTGTTGGTAGCCACGATTCTCCAGAGCTGGATTGCCGTTCTTCTGTGACAAAGTTCCAACGATGCCATGCTCTGATAACAAGACATCCTTGATGATCTGCGCGTCCAACCCCCAGTCTCGAGGATCGTTGTATACAAAGACTGCATCGATGCGGAGCGATCTAGATGGCGAGTCAACGTCGATAGGGACGGGTAGCGGTCGAGTAAAGGTCTTGTAGTAGGACAGTAGTTGCTGCGAGAATGGCCATACATCCGGGTGAGCAACCATGATATCGCCAGGTATAACTACATTCTTGAAACTATGCAATCTGTTAGAATGCTGTAGCCCCATGTAATGTCGTTCCGTCATACCCGTATGCCTCAGCGACCTTCCTGCATTTATCCTCCACACCACCCACCACCATGACCGTCTTGTCCTTGAGGTCGTCCATGTCGGCGAAGGGGGTATGGCTTTGAACGAACATGGATGCATCGATAGACACATCCAGTTTACTGCTCAACTCGGCCACGCGGTCGGATTCATGTTTGCCGCCGCCATTGGTAAGAAGTATGAAGGGAATGCCCTGTGACTGCAGGTAAGAGAGGGCCTTTTGAGCTCGGGGCAGCGGATCTGAACTTCTTAGGAGCACTCCATCGATACTGACAGCCGTCAGCTGCTGTGTTGAGAAGCTGATGGTGCGCATGCCTTACTCGAAAGCGAAAGCAAACTCCGGGGCACGGACCGAGGGAGCAGCGGCCGTCTGGAATGCGCGGCGTAAAGGCAGGCCGTAGCTGCAGCGAGCAAGTAGCCTCATCGCGTACATCGTCATTGGTGGACTGCGGATTGCTCGTGATAATGTGATGTCTTGGACGGTTACCCTGCAGCAGCATGCCCGTCGGGAAATTATTAGTCATCGTCGCGTTACCCACCGTTGCGTCACAACAATCTCAATACCATCTTGATACTACACATGAGCCCTGAGCTTGCATATATTCTATAATTTGGACACCAAGTACCAAATATTTGGTTCGGAACTCAGAGGCAGCTTGTCCGATCCTCATAGCCGACTCCTCTGCGCGCAGGCACGCTGACGTCTAAGGAATGGCAGCGTATACAACTCGGAGCAAACCATCACTCTACCATTCGCTCGATCGACAATGTTACCGCCAATCTTCTCGATTCGGAAGTCATGCATATGTAAGGATTTCGCTTGCCGTCCGGAAGCACCGGAGACATATGACCTTGAGTGCTCGTACACCGGTACCTTTGCATAGCTCATTGAGTCTCTAAATCACGTTTATTATCCACCTCATCACGCTGCTTCTCTTTGAAGACTTTAGATACCCATTAGCTCCTTGACCGAGAGAACATTTGTGACGGTATGCCTGTGTTCGCTCATTCATGGCAACAGGCGAACCTTCAGCAGTGAATATTTCCCACGTGGAAACTCACTTGCTCCTTCCCAACTGACATGACTTGCAACATGCAGGGACTTTCCTACTGAGGAAAATGTACATTGCCATACCAACCAATGTGATGTTTAGATCGACCGACTAGCTGTTGAGGTCGTGAATCGGGCCCACTCTACTGGACACAATAGTCGGCGACTCAGATCACCCCTTGCTTAGAATTCGGCACAGAACCTTGTCGAGACTTTTCTCTGCCGCTTGAATCTCCTTTGTTCTCATTCTTTACAGGTGCAATGGCTTTGGAACAATAGTAAGCAAAGTCACGTGGTATGACATACCATGTCCGAGAACAATAGTAAGCTAACATCGAGGGCCTTACCCTTGTCGGGACCATGCTCTGGACCTTTTGACAACAACAGCCACAAAGGAAGCTTCGTCCTTTCCCATATACTCTTTTCCGTTGTATAAAACGGTGCTCATGGTCCGTAAATTTATTGTTCTTCCAGCCAACAGAACACTATCTACCTACAATTTCAAGCTCTCTACATATCCTTCAATCACCTCAAACCACCCAAGCCAACTCAACTGTCAGCATGGCCCTTCATCGTGGCGTCAAAGGCGGCTGCACCGTCCAACGCATTGCCAAAGGCGGCACCAAAGGCGGCTGCACCATCCAACGCAATGCCAAAGGCGGCGTCAACGGCTGCACCGTCCAACTTGGCGGCGTCAGTGGCGGCTGTACCGTCCAATAGATCACTCTCCTCTCTTCCTCCCTCTCTCGACAGAGACTCGACAGAGAGACACTGCCTGTAGTTGCATCACACCCAACGACTACAGATTGATGCCGTCTCAGCTCATCACCGCTTTCACTTCGATCATCCCTTTTTACACGATAACAAGGGGATTTGTCCAAGTACTTACGCCAATTGACAAGTACGCGGATACAAGTCGCCTCAAAGCCTTGCTATAATGCCGATAAAAAAACATGCGAGAATCTTCCGACATGGCCGATCGACCACAACAACATATGCGGCGATGGGATTGGAGTCTTGTTCTGCTTACGGCGTGGCATCTTCTTTCCTTATAAATTATGTATCTAGTATCTAATGCGTACGCCAGGTTGAGTTCTTGGGGGATGGTTTCTGACTTTGGTCTTTGTATTGAGGGCAGCGATCGTTCAGAGGGAGCTTAATGATATGTACATAC